GAAATGTGAGGGTTGTGAACAAATATAAGGCGGTAGCGCGCATCAATTAGTGAGTTGGTGAGAGTTCGTTAGAATGTTCGTTAGAGAGCTGGTGTTAGACAGCGTTAGACAGGGTTAAGACTCCCGTAGGAGGAACCAATACATTAGCATACAGTAACTGTTAGAATCGGCATTAGTTGTAGATATTTAGTTTCTTTCATTTGAGATTTATTCATCTTTCCTTCACATAACAAGTTATCGCGTTTAGTTCCTTGTTTCATTCAAAAAAAAAAAAAAAAGGTAAGTCATACAAATTTAAGATTAGCACGCTCAAATATTCAGTTCCACTGCGCAACAAAACCATTTAAACACCAGGGTGGAAACGCCTATTCATTGACCAATATACACACTAATCTACATGTACTTCTGCAAGCATCTTCCAACACCAAGAGCACATAAGAACCCTGTCAAATGTTGGTGGACAATGCTCGCTAAATGCAATGTCTGTTCCCATAATGACGGGAACATTATGCCCGAAAGAATTAATTACTGGAGTATTAACAATTCGTTAATAACTTTAGTTTTACTTACCGCATTTGGGGATGTAACACCAGATTAACCTTGTCACCAATGGCAGCTTGTGTCTACTGAGGTTGGTCACCTATCGTTGCCTCTTCCTAATAAACGCTGCCTGGTCGTTGGTTACGATGCCTGAAGTAGTAAGATGTTCGTCAACATATGTAGAAATATATATATATACCATTTAAACACCAGGGATGAAACACCTTCTTTGACCAAGATACACACTAATCTACTTCTGCAACCCCATGCTTGCTGTAAAAGGCGACTCTGCTTTTCTTGAGGGGAGTAACGGGATCGGGTGGTCAGGCTCGCTTGGTTGATGCATGTCATCGATCCCAATTGCGTGGATCGATGCTCATGATATCAATCACTGGATTGTCTGGTCCAGACTCCAGATAGACCACCGTGATATAGCTGGAATATTGCCGAGTGCGGCGTTCAACAACAAACCAACTTCTGCAACCATCTACATACAAACACCAATTTCCGAAACATACCAATCCTGTCCCTAAACCTTTAAAATTTCACAATTTAAAGAGGTTGCCTCAGTGCCGAACAGTACTTATTTTTATTCATATAAAAATATGGCGATGTATTTTCATAGTGGACAGAACAGGTTGATGTTGGAGGAAAGCAAGAATTGATGCAGGTCTCAGATTTAACCACTTTGATGAGAAGGGTATGGTGCTGATGAACCTCGAAACAATCATGTGAAATCAGGATTCGAACACGAAATCACAGGTATCTGGGACGTTTGAGGGAGGCAGTCACCATTGCATGTGGAAAGGTGAGGGATTAAATGTTGTATAACGCCGCAGGCAGCAATATTACAGCTAGTATTTACTAAAAAGCAAACAGTGGTCGAAGGGCCGGTAGAATGAAAGGAGTACAATCATACATTTAGACAGGTCCATACATGAACTCAACAGGAATCGGGTACTGGGTAATATGTTCTGTATTAACTATTGCGTTTATTCACATTCATTGGCGCCGCCCCCCGATGGCGTGGCACAGCTGACCGCCTCGTTGCTGCCGGTGTGGTCGTCATCGGGATGGCGAAAGGCGTCGAGGTTGACGACATCCTTGATGTTGATGGCGTCTGGTCTGCCTGCTGCTGAGTCGCTTGGAGTGCTTGGAGGTTTGCAGAGATCGTAAAACGAGATGCGCGATGCGACAGTGGAAGTATCCATGTTTTATAGTCCAACCCGCAGGAGCATCCATTTGATTTCAAGGGGATGGGGTGGGAGGGGGGGTGGTGGAGGAGCTTGATTAAGGTTTGAGATTAGTTTACTTTACACAGACATTTGACTCCTCGACAATACAATACCCACTTTCTGTAAGAAAAAGGCACACAACTGTTTTAAGTAAAACAGGGGATATGCGGCCTGAGAGACCTGCGGGGCCAATCCAAGAGACTTGAAAAATGAAAACATGTTGGCTGGAAAAAATCGGTGGAAGTAATCGCTAGAGGTATAGAACTATGGAGGTTTGCAGAGATCGTAAAACGAGATGCGCGATGCGACAGTGGAAGTATCCATGTTTTATAGTCCAACCCGCAGGAGCATCCATTTGATTTCAAGGGGATGGGGTGGGAGGGGGGGGGGGGGGGGGGGTCGGGTGGTGGAGGAGCTTGATTAAGGTTTGAGATTAGTTTACTTTACACAGACATTTGACTCCTCGACAATACAATACCCACTTTCTGTAAGAAAAAGGCACACAACTGTTTTAAGTAAAACAGGGGATATGCGGCCTGAGAGACCTGCGGGGCCAATCCAAGAGACTTGAAAAATGAAAACATGTTGGCTGGAAAAAATCGGTGGAAGTAATCGCTAGAGGTATAGAACTATGGAGGTTTGCAGAGATCGTAAAACGAGATGCGCGATGCGACAGTGGAAGTATCCATGTTTTATAGTCCAACCCGCAGGAGCATCCATTTGATTTCAAGGGGGGGGTGGTGGAGGAGCTTGATTAAGGTTTGAGATTAGTTTACTTTACACAGACATTTGACTCCTCGACAATACAATACCCACTTTCTGTAAGAAAAAGGCACACAACTGTTTTAAGTAAAACAGGGGATATGCGGCCTGAGAGACCTGCGGGGCCAATCCAAGAGACTTGAAAAATGAAAACATGTTGGCTGGAAAAAATCGGTGGAAGTAATCGCTAGAGGTATAGAACTATGGAGGTTTGCAGAGATCGTAAAACGAGATGCGCGATGCGACAGTGGAAGTTTCCATGTTTTATAGTCCAACCCGCAGGAGCATCCATTTGATGTCAAGGGGGGGGGGGGGGGTCGGGTGGTGGAGGAGCTTGATTAAGGTTTGAGATTAGTTTACTTTACACAGACATTTGACTCCTCGATAATACAATACCCACTTACTGTAAGAAAAAGGCACACAACTGTTTTAAGTAAAACAGGGGATATGCGGCCTGAGAGACCTGCGGGGCCAATCCAAGAGACTTGAAAAATGAAAACATGTTGGCTGGAAAAAATCGGTGGAAGTAATCGCTAGAGGTATAGAACTATGGAGGTTTGCAGAGATCGTAAAACGAGATGCGCGATGCGACAGTGGAAGTATCCATGTTTTATAGTCCAACCCGCAGGAGCATCCATTTTACACAGACATTGAGGGGGGGGGGGGGGGGGGCGGCTAAGACCGGTACCATTCCTCACATTGGTGGACCGCCTCTGTGGAATAGTGGTAGAGCGTCTGTCCGGAGAGCGGAAGGTCGTGGGTTCGATCCCAGGCGGGGTCATACCAAAAGGCGTTACAAGATGGTACTTGTTGTTACCCTGTCTGGCGCTCAGCATTAAGGGGCTAAAACAAGGACTGGCCGTCTCGGAGTCAGTAAACAGTGTCTGAGTGGGGTATTCATGTTAAACTGCAGCATGGTACATGTATATGCATTGATGCTAAACTTGTTCCTTACATCTTTGGACCCGTGAAGATTCCGGGGTAGAATAGGTCTTCAGCAACCCATGCTTGTCGTAAAAGGCGACTAACGGGATCGGGTGGTCAGGCTCGCTGACTTGGTTGAGACATGTCATCGATCCCAATTGCGTGGATCGATGCTCATGATAGCAATCACTGGATTGTCTGGTCCAGACTCGATTATTTACAGACCGCCGTCATATAGCTGGAATATTGCTGAGTGCGGCGTTAAACAACCAACCAACCAACCTTACATCTTTACTTTACTTGCAAAATAAAATAATCTTGAATTAAAATGAAGGTAATATGTTCGCATTAGACGCGATGATCATACACACGCATACGTACAATATAGGAATTGGTAATCACAAGCGAATGTATCTTCCTCAGTTTCCTTTCAGACCTTTCAGTTACATGTACATGTTTGTCTCTGACACCGATGGAAGGACTAAATTTTCCTGTCAAGTGAGTATTGTTTTACCCCGCTTTTAGCAATATTATAGCATCACGGCGGGGGACACCAGAAATGGGGTTTTCAGACATGGTACCCATGTGGGGAATCAAACCCGGGTCTTTGGCGTGACGAGTAAACGCTATAGCCATTGGACTACCTCACCGTCCCTTTTTCAAGTCTAGAATGAGACCTTGTAATAATAATACTTGTCCTGTGGGGAAACTTATATCAGTCCGTAATTATAAACTGTCATAGATCTGTTATCAGAGACCCGTGAAGATCTGGGGTAGAATAGGTCTTCAGTAACCCATGCTTGCCGTAAAAGGTGACTATGCTTGTCGTAAAAGGCGACTAACGGGATCGGGTGGTCAGGCTCGCTGACTTGGTTGATGCATGTCATCGATCCCAATTGCGTGGATCGATGCTCATGATATTAATCACTGGATTGTCTGGTCCAGACTCGATTATTTATAGACCGCCGTCATATAGCTGGAATATTGCTGAGTGCGGCGTTAAACAACAAACAAACCAACCGTTATCAGACGAAGCGAACCTTTAGAGCAAGGTGTATGTAACTTCTGCGCGCACGCACATGCATCTCTTGCCATGAACTTATACATCTGTCTTTCTTCCATTCATTCGCGTTCATCTTTCATGGAATAAGGGGATACTTAGTAGTGATTCAGAGTAGTATGTGCCGAATGTCCTGAAAAGATAGTTTTGTTGAAAATTGATATTGTTATGCGCTTAAAACAGCGACCAAAAATATATTCTGTGACAAACAAATCCCCACAGCCACCACCCACCACAACTAACCTCTCCCCGAAAAGGCTTCACATTTGAGCGTCTTTAATTTGATATACGGCATATGAGTGTAAATATATCTCCCTTATCCAATGGAAGACCGTGAGAGTAGTGACAATGTAGGTCAATACGGATTGTTAATATCTGACCTTTGCATATTTCAACATGTCACTAACCGTGTGATGAATGGTTCAAGTATCAGCTGCGGGTGACCTTAACATAATCTGAATTAACAAGAAGTGAACAGTTTATACAACGTGATTGCGTGTTGCAAGCGTATCACGGGACGCACTGTTTGCGACCTCTGGACAACGTGTGTGTTGTTGCGAAAGCTTTTATCTGTACCCGTTGTAGGCGTCATCGTACTCGAGATCTATACACTGACCTAGCTCAGCTTCATTTGGTTAGCGTGAACCTTCTCCTGCTATGACGTCCGGTAACACATTTTTATTTTGCCTAGTGCTGAGTTTTCTTCAACGTTTCGCTGGGGGATCAGGTAAGCACCCACTACCCAACACGTTTACGATACATGTAAAGTATACCATCTAACGTTATGAAATCTTATCGTCCAACAGAAAGATGATATTGACTGGGGAGTTGATGCAGAGAAACATGCCTGAGGTAGTTATTGTACAGTTTATCATCAAGAAACTGGAAGAAGGGGTTTTCAAAACATTTATTTTTTGTTCAGATATCATTAACGAAGATTTATCATTGTTGTGGATCGAGAACTTTCCCTCCCATGACTGTGTGGTTGTTTGTTGTTTGATACCGCGGTCTGTAAAGAATCGAGATTGAACAAGGCAATCCAGTGATTGACATCATGAGCATCGATCTACGTAATTTGGAAACGGTGACATGCATCAACCAGTCTGATCCCGTTAAACGCCTCATGCTACAAGTCATGGGCTGCTGAAGACCAATTGTAACCCGGATTTTCACGGGGGACAAGGAATACTAACGTCACAAAGGGGTGTATTTATATTGACATATGCGTTTTTGTTTTCACGTTAAGGAGTTTGTAGTATTACAATATTCGATTATAAAAATACATGTAAGCGATACATTAGTGAGTGATTCTGTGCCGCTTTTAGCAATAGTCCAGCAATATCACGGCGGGGGGACACCAAAAATAGGCTTCACACTTTGTACCCATGTGGAAAACCGAACCCGGGTCTTTGGCGTGAAGTGCGAACGCTTTAACCACAAGATTATCCCACCGCCCCAAGCAATTTAGGATATCCGGAATTCCACCTTTTTATGGAGCATAATTTCGTAACTATTGGTCTGTAAACGAATTTATTTTTGTAAAAAGTACGAATTATAACAAGCATGGAAATAAGAGTTTATAAATTGCGTTGTGTATTTTACACAATTCATTTTACGAGTATGGCATTAGATCAAATATAAAATGATAATAAGTCCCCGCAATTTCACACATAGATTTTTTAATATCTGTATCCGAATGCCAATAACGACTAAATGTTGACAGATGATATACAAATGTATATATATACATTAATACTATTTATTTTACAGAATGTTCAGGAAACCTGACCGCTACCACAAATGACAAAACCCTGACGTCACCGAATTATCCAAAACCATACTCCAGGTTCTTTGCTCTCTAAAATAATCCACATAAATGTTTAATGATAATTAGGACTAAAAACGAAATCGAATGTATAAATATTCCTTAAATGTTTGAATTACTGATGTACTTTAATCGCCCTTCATGAAACGAGTCGTCAGGCGGGAGGATACCAGAAAAGTACCCATGTTGAAAATCAAACTCGAGATCACGGCGTGACGAGTGAACGTCTCGGCCAATACATGTACCTCACCGCCAAATGTGTCGTCAATATATACTGAACCGCAAAAGAAACGTCACCATGGATAGATCTATGAGAAACCTTATTTGTCCAAACACTGTAAACATACGTTGAGAGATATTAAAAAGATGAAACTTGGCAAAACTGATCATCAAGGTTGAATTTTAGAGTCAGATGTTCTTAAAGTAAAACAACACTAGTCTCTGAACAAATGCCATCACAAGTCAGTATCTCGTGTATCCGCCATGTGCATTGATGACTGCCGTGCAACGTCGATACATGGAATGAGACTGTCTGTCTCTGTGTGTGTGTCTCTCTCTCTCTCTGTGTCTCTCTCTGTGTGTCTCTCTCTGTCTCTCTATCTCTCTCGATGTCCGCATGTGTCGCTGGTGTGTCCCCATGGTCTGTCGAGCAGTTTCCGCAGCAGTAACAAAGCGATCTTGAAGATGCTGTCGCACAATCTGGCGATCCTGACGTCGGGTAGTGACCCTTGGTCTTCCACTACGTGGTCGGTCATCTGTAGTGTTGGTGGTCTGGTACCGTTGCTGGAGCCTGTATATGGTCCTTACGTGGACTTGAAATGCATTGACTACTTGCCGGGCGGTTTGTAAAGCTTGCAATCGTCCAAGGGCTTGGTGTCGCTGATTTCATGTCAATCTTGGCATGTGGTGGCAATTCAATAACGAACGAATGTTATCCGATCTGGGTGGATTTTTATAGGGCAAGAAATGGGGGTACGCATGTGCATTTCAATTTGCACGGAACTCACGTGCATCGGGTTACCATGGCCGTTTCCGTGATGCGTTTGGTCGATCGGTTTTATTGTCATCTGCTTTGTTTTTTTATCATCAAATTTCATTTTTCCGGACAAGGTCGTGTTAAATTTTAGAAATTGACAAAAATTACCCAAATATTTAAATGACAACTTTTCATGCAATGTTACTTGGGGTGACGTTTCTTTTGCAGTTCAGTATGGTTAGGAGTGAAAAAAATATGTTTGTTGTACTCGGACTAAGTGCCAACGACGAGTGTCGTGAACGTAAATAATTTTCTCATCTGTTTATTTGCATTTGAAGTAATCTCCATTGTGTGTGGACAATCACAGCTGCGCAGAGCAACCACACGGTCATAATACAGATATCATCTTCTGATATTCAAGCAAGCGACGATTGCAATGCTGACTCAGTGACAGTTTACAATGGAAACGCTCCAATAGGTATTTTAACATTTTTGTTTTGTGTGTTTGCTTGTTGTTTAACGCCGCATTCAGCAATATTCCAGCTGTATGACGGAATCCTGTACATAATCGGAGCTGGACAAGACAATCTAGTGATTGATACTATGAACAACTAGCCATGCCGTCGGGGTAAGCCCATAGATTCATCATGGGGCAATGAAGCTGTTCAATCGCCCGTTTTCATTTCACGATCACTATATCATTTTTTTTTAAAGAAGGTCATTGAAATTTGCGGTTTGTTTTTACATGAAAAAACATGATAATCAATAATAATGTATTTTTTATGTTTCCCCATTACCCAACTTCAATCTTTGTCTTTTACCGGGTTCACAATAATACGTCCATATGTTTCAGATGTTGCCATGTTTCGAGTAAAATTATTTGCCTGAATGCTTTTATCCAATCCCGGACCTGTATTAAAAGCAATGTCAAGATAATTATGTCAACCTTCCAGCCTGTGATACAATTATATTGATCAAACACACAGCAAACTTACTGTCAAACCGCTAATATAACAAATTTACCCCCGGCGCTGTGGTAGATAAGTATATTTATATTAAGATTGAGTGAGTGAGCATGGTTTTACGCCGCTTTTAGCAATATTCCAGCAATATCACGGCGGGGGACACCAGAAATGGGCTTCACACATTGTACCTCTGTCGGGAATCGAACCCGGGTCTTCGGCGTAACGAGCGAACGCTATAACCACTAGGCTACCCGACCGCCCCATTTATATTAAGAAAGTTTATGACCGTTACAGTAATTTTTGATAGCTGTGATACTAAAATATAATATTAAATAGACAAGGTAAATATATATTTACTTGCATGGAGTACAACATTTAGTTTGTTCCAATATTTTACAACACGTATACCTCAATACATTACATCTTACAATGTCCTATCTAAAACTGAAGGTGCATTGGCTGAAACATCTCGAAATGTTTATGTATGGGCGTTAAGAACTCATTTTTCACGTCGATTCAAAAATTCGATTCTCATCATTGTAAGGTACAGCGCGTGTCAATCATTGTCGTTCTGCTTGTGGAATATGTTTATTATGGATTATTTTACTTTGTTCAGCATCCCAAGTACTTGGCACCTTCTGCAAGACCTTCACTCCAAAGTACCAGAGTGGTTTAAATCAGGCGCTCGTTGTGTTTAAAACAGACGAGTCTATTGTTAAGAAGGGATTTCGATTGACCTACAGATCGGTTCCACGTAAGCAATGTATTAAGTCTTTGTTGTTCCTAACTCTATATTAATCTGATTCCATTCATTCAATAATAACAGATAATAGAAACTTAAATATTCGTGTGTATTTATGAAGGAACAGAATCAAAGCAGATCGTTGTAATTTGTTTATAATGAATTATTTTTCAGAATCCGAATGCTTTCCTCAACGAATTGCCGATGGCATCATGCCATATTACATCGTTTCACCAGGCTACCCGAATGCTTACTTCAAGTACGTAGTTTATTTGCTTTCATGTACCATTTTATAGGGTAAAAAAGACAAAGGGAGGCCGTAAGTCAGTTTGATTTACCCCGCTTCAAACTTTATCTTACTTATGTCATGACAAGCCAGCTTCATGTGCTAGGAAAGTGGTGAGACAGCGTTGGTTCAGTCTGAAGCGCCGTAATTCGCTGTGACGTCAGTATGTCTAGCAATGTCGTGTTTTGGTTGAACTGCAGATTCACTTTGCTACGGTGGCCCATAAGGGACATGATGTCTGTTTTTCAATATTTTGACATTTCACTTACTGTTATCATAACCTTTGGTAAATTAACACAATTTGTCATACAAATGTGATAAATTATGTTTAAAAACAGCCGAAAACATGGAAAATGTACTTTCAAGTAGCTATTGAATCGCTGAAATGTGAAGCGAAAATGTCAAAAACTAAAATGAAAATAATAATGAATATTTCCAGCGCGGGGGAAACTATTTACACCGGGGTGAAAAGTATTTTGACCTTTTCGTTTTTGTTTTTGACATTTTCATTTTAGTTTTAGCGATTCAATATCTACTTTATGCATGATTTATCACACATTTGTATGACAAATCGTGTTAATTTGCCAAAGGCTATGATAACAGTAAGTGAAATGTCAAAATATTGAAAAACAGACTTCATGTCCCTTATGGGCCACCGTACTTTGCAAATGAGTCACATGACATTCTAAATGCTGATAGCTTCTGAAGTGACATATCTCTTTCAGCGTGTACAATTCTATAGAGGGGGCGCGGGTGGCCCTGTCGCTTAAGGCGCCGCGATTCGCTGTGAAGAGTTGCGTCCCTTGGGCACGCAAGAAACCTATGATTGTGGGTTCGAATCCCGGTTATGTTTCTAGGTTTGTCAGCACTTTACCCATGCTCGTGGGTTTCACCGAAGTGGTAAACGTTTGAGGCCTGCATCACTTCGGGCTCTCTTCTCACATTATAAACTGACACACCGCGATATAACTGTAACACTGTTAAAAGCGGCGTTAAACCAAACTCACTCACTCACTTGCAATTTTATTCTATAGTGATCAATGCTATCGTGATCCAGAAAGTGGCGTTTATCAATTCGGCTTTAAAATTAAATGATATGTTAAGATTTACTGCGGACTGGAAAGTATATGTGGATATACATGTAACTATGCCATTTCTTTTGACAGGTATTTTCTCCGAGACACCAATATCTGGTAGACATCGGCCACTCCGCCAATGAAACGTTTCGATCTCGTAATATGTAACCCTGGATTTACGGGATATATGTATGTGTACATGTGTGTTATCTTTTAAGCAACTTAAACTGCAACTGGGAGATTCTAACACTGTTGGACGGCATTGAACTGGATGTTGTGTCATCAGATGTAGAAGGCCCTTATCCTGCTTGTGGACATGACGTTGTTACTGTCTACTCAGGTAAGTATTGACCACATGTGTGTATGTGATAACTGGTCTCATTGAAGGAACGAGCCACGTCACACACTGTCTGGGTGCGATGAGTGAGTGAGTGAGTGAGTATGGTTTTACGCCGCTTTTAGCAATATTCCAGCAATATCACGGCGGGGGACACCAGAAATGGGCTTCACACATTGTACCCATGTCGGGAATCGAACCCGGGTCTTCGGCGTGACGAGCGAACGCTTTAACCACTAGGCTACCCGACCGCCCTCTGGGTGCGATGACACACTATGTCGCGTTGTACATAGTTTTTTTACCATGAGGGTGAATGTTGAATGCTGAATGCTGCTGTATCAGTGTGTGGAATACAACCCGGCTTCGCAACTTCGCAATATGCTTCTGGTGAGGTGATCAGGTTACTGGCAATATGGAAAGTTCAGGAAAACGTTCAGGAGAAGCTCTGGAAGTCAACAAGTGCAACCGTGTGCTCACATGGTGGCTGCCATACTCTTTTGTTCTAAAACATGGAATTGGAAGCGGAATGGGATCCTAATGAATAATGCAAAAACCTGGATTTGGCATGCAACAACCGAAATATGAATAGGAAATATTTTAAGGCTTTCTGACACCTAATAAATGCATTCATGTATGTTTGTAGAATTTAGAGTTCCCACAGACCATCAGCTGGGTCAATTCTGTGGTAGCACAAGCAACACAACCACGTTTGTTACACCTACGCCTGGCATGACGGTAAACTTCACAACGAACAGTGCTGTAGTAAAACGTGGCTTCAGGCTGCGCTACCAGAGCTTCTCGGGGACAGGTAGGTAACTGCTACTTACAACAAGTGAGATATGGCTGAGATACTGCCGATGTGACGTAAAACTTTAACTCACTCACTCACTCACTCAACAAGTGAGAGAGTGTGAGTAAGCAGTATTTCAGTTATCATGGTGTCAGCTTGAGGGGTGTGGAAAGTCACAAACACATACAAAGGCAAGTCAATTGTTCATTTAAAAAAACACGTATACATATGGTCAAGTCAACGTAGGGAATTTCATCGGACAAGTTTTGTCACTGATGTGTCAAATTTGGACATGTCCTCCACATGTTTACCATAAAACCTTTTGAAAGCCTTACTGTGGCCTTGAATGTTGTAACCTTGATCAAACAACTTCTGAACAAGATTTGTATGACGCTCTTTGAAATCTTGGAAGAAAGAGCATGCTCGATTTCATGCTCGATTTTATATCTAAGTTGCGAAATGTAAACACCGAACACAGTGAGAACATCTGAGATTTAAACCCAAGAACTTTCGTTTCTTGGACACCGCACAGTCAATTCCGCCGCCTTAGACGACAGGGCCACCCGTGTACTCACACTGCATTGAAAACTTGGTTTAAACCAATAAATGTTAAGTCCTGGGCCCACTAGCACAAAGTGATCTTAGCGCTACGACTATCATAAGCCTATGTTAACGATCATCTTAGCGCTAAGATCGCTTTGTGCAAGCGGGCCCAGATATGCAAAACTCGGATATATTTAAGAACGCGTATTGCACTTGTGTACAGTTCTACAATGTTTTTGCATTTCCTTTATTTTCAGGACCAACGACACCACCGCCGCCGCCGCTTCCCTGCGGCAACTCTAGCTACACCGTCGCTACAACTTCAACAAAACATTTTCTGATATCCCCAGGATACCCTCACGGCTACAGCGGGTTCGTTTTTTACGTGGGGCCGCTTTTGCGTAAATCTTGGAATTAAAATATATTAAGGTTGTTCCTGTCGCATCTTGGTAATTCTCACATTCCAATATTTACAAGATTTCGTTAAATTGTCTCTATTCGTCAATTATCTATTGAGCGCTAAGAAATGATCCTCGGTGAGTCAGTTGGGTTTAACACGCTTTTAACAGTATTCCAGTTATTTCACGGCTTGTCAGCTTTGATGTGAGGAAAGCCCGAAGTGATGCAGATCTGACATCTTCCACTTTGGTGAACACCATAAGCACCCGTATGGTGCTGACAAACCTGGAAACATAATTGGGGCGAACCTGGATTCGAACGAACAATCACAGGTTTCTGACGTGCCCAAGGGACGCAACTCTACACAGCGCATTGCGGTTCCTCTGACAACTTGGCCACCCATGCCCCCAGTAATCAAACATTGAACTAGTCAGCCGGCCCCAGCGACGCTATCAGACAGTGTACCGAACTTCCGCCGATATACCCGGTAGACAGGCGGTATCAACATGTAGTGGTTTAGCTGAGAAATGCAGTAACGCCGTAACGAGATTTAGCCGCGACCATACTAAACAGTCAGTTACAGGGCCGAAGATATCTTTATATTTTATTTATAAAATCTTTGAATATGATAGTATTAAAATTGTACGGAACAGATCTTAATTTGTTGATCCAAGGATTGTACGGAACACCGCCATGGTACTATCATTGTCGTGGAGGTATATAAGGAAACAATTTGCAGATCCACAATGCTTGCTATTTAAACCGACACGTGTTGCTTACTGTTATTTAATTTCATCTGTCAATTTACTCCATCAAAATTACATGTCAAATTCAAAATACTTATCCATTTAAATACTTATCTTGAGATTAATTGTTAAGTGAGTGAGTTGGGTTTAACGCCGCTTCAGTATTCCAGTTATATCGCGGCGTGTCACCTTAATGTGGAAGGAAAGCCCGAAGTGATGCAGGTCTCAGACGTTTACCACTTCGGTGAAACCCACGAGCACGGGTATGGTGCTGACAAACCTGGAACCATAATTGGGGCGAACCGAGATTCGAACCTCTTAATCATAGGTTTCTGGCGTGCCCAAGGGACGCAACTCTGCACAGCGAATCGCGGCGCCTTAGACGACTGGGCCATCCTTGCCCCCTAATTGTTAGGTTCTCTTTGGATTGTCAATATATGTGTCATTTGTGTTTCTTGACAGGAGAGAGAACTGTTCCTACACCATCATCGGGCCACCCAACACCATGATCCACGTCAAGGTTACAGATTCTAGCCTTTCATCGGGGTCGTTGTGTGAAGGAGTCTACGTAAAGGCTTATGATGGTGAGAGTTTAACCCACAACGTTGCGGCCTGTATTTCAGATGTGCTAAGAAACGATCATTGCATGTAATTAACTTACCTATTCTAACATGTGTTATATATCTTTAACCAAGATAATAAAATGTCAAAACCAGAAACTAACCAGTCTCGATCCCCATGATGACGTGTACAAATGGCTATCAAACGGATGAGGGGATACGGTGTCCGCAGTTGGCCAATATATTTAGGTCATCAGGGCTCACTTGCACAAAGCGATCTTAGCGCTAAGGTGATCGTAACTCCTATACTTTAACGTAGGCTTACGATAGTCTTTGCGCTAATATCGCTTTGTGCAAGTGGTCCCCGGGATATAATGGTGTACAGATTTTCAGAGCGCTATAATGATTTGTAGAGAATCTTTAGTTGCAGAACAGCGCTATTAATCCCACATTACATACTGGCAGACTGTTCCAACGGTTTGATCGGTGGACACCAGTAGTGACAAACAGAAATATTCATGAACGATGAACGGACAGAGAAACTAGTATTCGTACCCCGACGGTTTAAACGTTTTCTTATGTCTACATTCACTATAACTGTTACTTGCACAATATTGGCTAATTGTTTTTATGTCATTGAGGTTTAAACTTAAAAGCTATAGTTTTCTACCCTGGTGCTGTCCATCACCATGTCGGCGCGCCAAGTTGCCTTCAGTGATCCTCAATATCCTTGGTTTGTCAACATCACATATGTGTTCGTGGAATTCACAAACAAATGTCATATTGCTTTTATATTTATCGAACATTAAATAAGTTATCGGGAATTGACTGACACACACTTAAATGTACTATTAACCCTTATGTCACTCGTCATTGTTCAAAGGCATGTGTTTTCGTTTCGTTATCACAGGGGACACGTTGGTGACAGTGTGGTGCTCCAAGCAAAGACCGGAATTCCAGACACAAAACAATGAACTGAACTTGAGATTCGCGACAGATGGCTCAACACCGTATAAAGGCTTTAATCTTACATACTTTGCCACATCAGGTAAACCCAGGGCCCAGCTATACATACCACAACGTTCAACGAACTGGAGTTTTGTTTCTTCTTCTTTTTTCATTATGTGGATGCAGTTGTTAGTTGTTAGTTTTGGGGTGTTTTTTTTTAGTTTGTTGTTGGGTTTTGTTTTTTGGGTTGGTTTTTTTGGTTTTTGGTTTTTGGTTTTGGGTTTTTTTTTTGGTTTTTTGTTTGTTTGTTGTTTTTTTGTTTGGGTGGGTTTTTTTGGGTAGGGGCGGGGGGAGGGCCTAGATTACTTTGTTTATGTTTCGGGTTGGGGGTAGTGGTATTTTTGTTATTTGGAGGGGGGGGGGGTGTGTTGGGGGTGTTATTAATTCCATATCTGTTCTTATTACGTGTACTTTTTATAACCCATACCATCAGAACAACATCTCACTGGATAAACTAAACTGCCAAGCAGACGAAAGTAAATGTATGCACCCACGTTTGAAAGTGGCTAAAATGAAACAAACAAGAAATGGTTAGTCGATGATGATGTATTTGATACGAGTATCAAACATTTGTAATTGTCTTTGCCATGTCTAATTTCCAAGTGTATGCGTTCTTGTGCCTGGCATATGTTCCACTTATGAAGTCACCCTTCTGCCATGATGTTGCTAGAATATGTTTAAATGCGGCGTAAAACAGCACTCCTTCCTTGTTGAGATTCTACATTATCTATACCAACGTTCCCAACAGGGCAAATACTGTGTCCCCGAAAACGTATTGATACCTATAAAAGCCCCTCTTCCAAGCTATCAAAGATCACACTCCCTATATTCACACATAACCTGTACTTTTTTCCAGATCCGTACAAATGCGAAAATCAGTTAGTAGCTACAAGGGCGATACAACTTTTCTCATCACCAAATTTCCCGCTTCAGTATCAGAAGTATGATGTTTTTAATGATTTTGACATTAACAGTTTTTGCAACCAACATTTATAAGTTCCACCCTGTTTCTTCGCATACATAAGTATAATGCTATTAATAACAAAATGCATAAATCTAAGCGAATAATTGTCCATGTTTCATTGATTAATACTTATTAATGTGTGACACACTTTTCTTGCTTCCATCGTCGTATATCACGGCATATTGCTATAAATACGACGAAACCAGACTCACTCGCTGGAATTGATTCAATCTAATGAATACTTTAACTCTCTTTCAGCAACGAGGACTGCATCTGGGCGATATCAACATCTGAGAAAAACATAAAGCTTACCGTTGAGCTTTTGAGGCTGCAGGGAGGAACTGGTTGCCCATATGATTATGTAGCAATTTATGATGGTGAGAGTGTTTCACAATCAACACACCCGGTTTTGTTTTTACTTCAATCAACACACCCGGTTTTGTTTTTACTTCAATCAACACACCCGGTTTTGTTTTTACTTCAATCAACACACCCGGTTTTGTTTTTACTTCAATCAACACGCCCGGTTTTGTTTTTACTTCAATCAACACACCCGGTTTTGTTTTTACTTCACTTCTAAATTTCGACATTGATGCGTGAACGACCAAATATATCCTATTTCACTGATCATTTGTACAATATTATTTCTTGGTGGGGACTGCATGTTTGCTTAAGTTAGGTAAGACGCTAAAAGGGAACCAGAATATGCATGACTATGGCCCCGTTCAACAAAGCGAACATAAGGCCACGACTGGCGCAGGTCTATGTATAAGAGTTACGTTCGTCTTAGCGCTACGTCCGCTTTGTGGAACAGGGCACAGGCTTCGAACTCATACTTTCTAACTTACAACTGCTTATTACCCAGCACAAATGAGATTCGTCGATTTCGAAGATGGATGAAAAATATTCTTTTTGTTGGCATTCTTTAAATCCAAATGGCACTCTTGAACATCTTAATAAGTGTCCCGTGCTACAATTAAAAAAGAAAATATCCCTGTGATCTGTACTGTATAACAACTCATACAGCGAGAACCTTACGTTGTTTTGTGAAGACTCTTGTTCAGTTCTTGCGTGATATAACCAGAGTTTATTCCGCCACCGTGGTCTAATGGTAGAGCGTCCGCCCGGAGAGCGGAAGGTCCGGGGTTCGATGCCCAGCCGCGTCATACCAAAAGACGTTAAAAGATGGTACTTGTTGTTACCCTGTCTGGCGCTCGGCATTAAGGGGCTAAAACAAGGACTGGTCGGCTCGGAGTCAGTATACTGTGTCTGAGTGGGTTATTCATGTTAAACTGCGGCATGGTATCTCAGTGTGCTAGCACTATAAATCGGCATCAGTCCGGACTAGACAAGCAGCCACACACACACAAATACACGTGCATGCACGTCGGTCGCTATATAAGTGCAATAATTTTGGACGCGACGTTAAACCCCATTTCACCTTACCTCACCAGAGTTTATTCCCGAATTAGGAGGCGACTAATACGATCGGGTGGTCAGGTTCGCTGACTTGATTGATGCATGTCATCAAATCCAAATGGCCTATATCGATCTTCAAGATGTCAACCACTGGATTGTCTGGTCCATTCTCGATATTTACAGACCACCGCCATACAGCTGGATTATTGCTGACTGCGGCGTTAAACAACGTACGCAATTCGTGAATAGGTGGCCGATACTTATGGTTTATGTTATTGATTTATGATGATACATGGAACTGGCATGTCTACAGGTTCCACGACTTCGAGCCTGGTCATTGGCAGACTCTGTTTCATGGATACACCAACTCTAACAAGCTCCGGATCAGATGTTCTTGTGCGTTTCCACTCCGACGATTCCCTTTCTTTTACCGGATTTCAGATGAGCTACACTGGTGGAAGTTACTCAAGTAGGTTGATTTGTGGTATTGCGAACTCAATTCTATTAGGGCTGGGGCGGGTAACTCGGGTGGGTCCTGAGTAGGACCCGGGTACCCACAGGACTACCAGGACCCGTGGTTAGTCACTTGACATAATGTTTAATGACAAACACTAATTGGAGCTCAGTGGTTACACTACAAGTCGCTAATGTTCCCATTGCTTTATAATGATGCACACATTCCTTTTGACTTGTATATGTTTGAGTAAAGATAAAGCTTCAGTCAACTTCAGTGTACGCATGATTTGATCGTTTCATAAAAGACCATATACCTATTATATGGTCTCTGGTTTCATACATGTATCTAAACAGTGTTTGCCAGGGCTACAGTTACACTATTCCCAATTAGACATTGTGTTCTCAACTCTTGAGACCTACAGTGGGTACCCGGGTAGGGTCGGGTAATAGGGGGTTGGGTACCGGGTAGTACATTTGGACTCGTCCCAGCCCTACATTCTATATGTTCATAGGGTATTCACGCTTGCTTCACTTACATAGCTACGCTCATGCGTGTGTGTGATGCTGCTTGTACTAGTCCGGACTAATGCCGGATTGACAGTGCAAGCCTACGGAGACACCATGCCGCAGTTTATCATGGATTCCCATTCAGATATTAAAGTGACTCCGAGACGGCCAGACCTTGTTTTATGCCATTTAGGCATTGTAAAAACAAGTACCATATTTTGGTATGACATGGTCAAGAGATCGACCCGCCGAAATTCTTCATGTACACGATAAGCCTACAAGTGTTAATAAAACACGGGGGTATTATTCACACACATAACAATTGAATGGAGTACAGTAAACTACGGTTATAACGAACTCAAAGGGACTACTAATTTTAGTTCGTTATAACCGTAATTCGTTATAAGCATATATACAGCATTACTACAGCATGTAGTCGGGACTAAAAAGTTAGTTCGTCATATCAGCCAGTTCGTTTTAAGCGTGTTCGTTATAACCGTAGTTTACTGTACATGTATATATATTTCAAAATATATTTAACCTTTACAAATATGTATTAATATATCCATCAGTCTGTGGCGACAACAACCTCATCGCTCCAATCTTCGGTGCCAGTCATATCAAATCGCCAAGATATCCAAATAATTACCCAAGGTAATATTTTAGTTGATCATGATGTGCATGTATGCATTCTAAAATGGATAGAATTATCATAAAACGGTCCACACATGAACAGGCAATGCTAGGGTCTCTGTATTTTGATAATGCCCTCATTGTGCGTGATTGAGTGAGTGCCTGACTGTATCGACTGGCGTGATTGAGTGAGTGTCTGACTGCATCAATTGGCGTGATTGAGTGATTGCCTGACTCTATCGACTAACGTGATTGAATATTTGCCTCACTGTATAGACTAGCGTGATTGAGTGATTGCCTAACTGTATAGACTGGCGTATATGAGTGCCTGACTCTTTCGACTGGAGTGATTGAGTGAGTGCCTGACTGTATCGACACGCGTGATTGAGTGATTGCCTAACTGTATAGACTGGCGTATGTGAGTGCCTGACTCTATCGACTGGAGTGATTGAGTGAGTGCCTGACTGTATCGACTGGCGTGATTGAGTGAGTTCCTGACTGTATAGACTGGCGTGATTGAGTGAGTGCGTGCCTGACTGTATCGACAGGCGTGATTGAGTGAGTGCCTGACTGTATCGACTGGCGTGATTGAGTGAGTGCCTAAATGTATAGACTGGCGTGATTGAATGAGTGCCTCACTGAAAAGACTTGCGTGATTGAATGATTGACTGACCGTATCGACTGGCGTGATTGAGTGATTGAGTGATTGCCTAACTGTATAGACAGGCGTGATAGAGTGAGTGCAAGCCTGACTGTATCGACAGGCGTGATTGAGTGAGTGCCTGACTGTATCGACAGGCGTGATTGAGTGAGTGCCTTAATGTATAGACTAGCGTGATTGAGTGAGTGCCTGACTGTATCGACTGACGTGATTGAGTGAGTGCCTGACTGTATCGACTGGCGTGATTGAGTGAGTGCCTGACTGTATCGACAGGCGTGATTGAGTGAGTGCCTGACTGTATCGACTGGCGTGATAGAGTGAGTGGCTGACTGTATCGACTGACGTGATTGAGTGAGTGCCTCTCTGTATATACTGGCATGAGTGAGTGCGTGCCTGACTGTATCGACAGGCGTGATTGAGTGAGTGCCTTAATGTATAGACCGGCGTGATTGAGTGAGTGCCTGACTGTATCGACTGACGTGATTGAGTGAGTGCCTGACTGTATCGACTGGCGTGATTGAGTGAGTGCCTGACTGTATCGACAGGCGTGATTGAGTGAGTGCCTGACTGTATCGACAGGCGTGATAGAGTGAGTGCCTGACTGTATCGACTGGCGTGATTAAGTGAGTGCCTGACTGTATCGACAGGCGTGATTGAGTGAGTGCCTGACTGTGTCGACTGGCGTGATAGAGTGAGTGCCTGACTGTATAGACAGGCGTGATTGAGTGAGTGCCTGACTGTATCGACAGGCGTGATAGAGTGAGTGCCTGACTGTATCGACTGGCGTGATAGAGTGAGTGCCTGACTGTATCGACAGGCGTGATTGAGTGAGTGCCTGACTGTATCGACAGGCGTGATAGAGTGAGTGCCTGACTGTATCGACTGGCGTGATTAAGTGAGTGCCTGACTGTATCGACAGGCGTGATTGAGTGCGTGCCTGACTGTATCGACAGGCGTGATAGAGTGAGTGCCTGACTGTATCGACTGACGTGATTGAGTGAGTGCCTGACTGTATCGACAGGCGTGATAGAGTGAGTGCCTGACTGTATCGACTGGCGTGATAGAGTGAGTGCCTGACTGTATCGACAGGCGTGATAGAGTGAGTGCCTGACTGTATCGACTGGCGTGATAGAATGAGTGCCTGACTGTATCGACTGACGTGATTGAGTGAGTGCCTCTCTGTATATACTGGCATGAGTGAGTGCGTGCCTGACTGTATCGACAGGCGTGATTGAGTGAGTGCCTGACTGTATCGACTAGCGTGATTAAGTGAGTGGCTGACTGTATCGACAGGCGTGATTGAGTGAGTGCCTAAATGTATAGACAGGCGTGATAGTGAGTTTCGACTGTATCGACTAGCGTGATTGAGTGAGTCCCTGACTGTATCGACAGGCGTGATTGAGTGAGTGCCTGACTGTATCGACTGACGTGATTGAGTGAGTGCCTCTCTGTATATACTGGCGTGAGTGAGTGCGTGCCTAAATGTATATACAGGCGTGGTAGAGTAAGTGCCTAAATGTATAGACAGGCGTGATTGAGTGAGTGCCTAAATGTATAGACAGGCGTGATAGAGTAAGTGCCTAAATGTATAGACTGGCGTGATTGAATGAGTGCCTAAATGTATAGACAGGCGTGGTAGAGTAAGTGCCTAAATGTATAGACTGGCGTGAGTGAGTGAGTGCCTAAATGTATAGACAGGCGTGGTAGAGTAAGTGCCTAAATGTATAGACAGGCGTGATTGAGTGAGTGCCTAAATGTATAGACAGGCGTGGTAGAGTAAGTGCCTAAATGTATAGACAGGCGTGATTGAGTGAGTGCCTAAATGTATAGACAGGCGTGATTGAGTGAGTGCCTAAATGTATAGACTGGCGTGATTGAGTGAGTGCCTAAATGTATAGACTGGCGTGATTGAGTGAGTGCCTAAATGTATAGACTGGCGTGATTGAGTGAGTGCCTAAATGTATAGACTGGCGTGATTGAGTGAGTGCCTAAATGTATAGACAGGCGTGATAGAGTAAGTGCCTAAATGTATAGACAGGCGTGATTGAGTGAGTGCCTAAATGTATAGACTGGCGTGATTGAGTGAGTGCCTAAATGTATAGACAGGCGTGATAGAGTAAGTGCCTAAATGTATAGACAGGCGTGATTGAGTGAGTGCCTGACTGTATCGACAGGCGTGATTGAGTGAGTGCCTAAATGTATAGACAGGCGTGATTGAGTGAGTGCCTAAATGTATAGACAGGCGTGATTGAGTGAGTGCCTAAATGTATAGACAGGCGTGATAGAGTAAGTGCCTAAATGTATAGACAGGCGTGATTGAGTGAGTGCCTAAATGTATAGACAGGCGTGATTGAGTGAGTGCCTAAATGTATAGACAGGCGTGATTGAGTGAGTGCCTAAATGTATAGACTGGCGTGATAGAGTAAGTGCCTAAATGTATAGACAGGCGTGATTGAGTGAGTGCCTAAATGTATAGACAGGCGTGATTGAGTGAGTGCCTAAATGTATAGACTGGCGTGATTGAGTGAGTGCCTAAATGTATAGACTGGCGTGATTGAGTGAGTGCCTAAATGTATAGACAGGCGTGATTGAGTGAGTGCCTAAATGTATAGACAGGCGTGATAGAGTAAGTGCCTAAATGTATAGACAGGCGTGATTGAGTGAGTGCCTAAATGTATAGACTGGAGTGATTGAGTGAGTGCCTAAATGTATAGACAGGCGTGATTGAGTGAGTGCCTAAATGTATAGACAGGCGTGATAGAGTAAGTGCCTAAATGTATAGACAGGCGTGATTGAGTGAGTGCCTAAATGTATAGACAGGCGTGGTAGAGTAAGTGCCTAAATGTATAGACTGGCGTGATTGAGTGAGTGCCTAAATGTATAGACAGGCGTGGTAGAGTAAGTGCCTAAATGTATAGACAGGCGTGATTGAGTGAGTGCCTAAATGTATAGACTGGCGTGATTGAGTGAGTGCCTAAATGTATAGACAGGCGTGATAGAGTAAGTGCCTAAATGTATAGACAGGCGTGGTAGAGTAAGTGCCTAAATGTATAGACAGGCGTGATTGAGTGAGTGCCTAAATGTATAGACTGGCGTGATTGAGTGAGTGCCTAAATGTATAGACAGGCGTGATTGAGTGAGTGCCTAAATGTATAGACTGGCGTGATTGAGTGAGTGCCTAAATGTATAGACAGGCGTGATTGAGTGAGTGCCTAAATGTATAGACAGGCGTGATTGAGTGAGTGCCTAAATGTATAGACTGGCGTGATTGAGTGAGTGCCTAAATGTATAGACAGGCGTGATAGAGTAAGTGCCTAAATGTATAGACAGGCGTGATTGAGTGAGTGCCTAAATGTATAGACTGGCGTGATTGAGTGAGTGCCTAAATGTATAGACAGGCGTGATTGAGTGAGTGCCTAAATGTATAGACTGGCGTGATTGAGTGAGTGCCTAAATGTATAGACAGGCGTGATTGAGTGAGTGCCTAAATGTATAGACAGGCGTGATTGAGTGAGTGCCTAAATGTATAGACTGGCGTGATAGAGTAAGTGCCTAAATGTATAGACAGGCGTGATTGAGTGAGTGCCTAAATGTATAGACTGGCGTGATTGAGTGAGTGCCTAAATGTATAGACAGGCGTGATTGAGTGAGTGCCTAAATGTATAGACTGGCGTGATTGAGTGAGTGCCTAAATGTATAGACAGGCGTGATTGAGTGAGTGCCTAAATGTATAGACTGGCGTGATAGAGTAAGTGCCTAAATGTATAGACAGGCGTGATTGAGTGAGTGCCTAAATGTATAGACAGGCGTGATTGAGTGAGTGCCTAAATGTATAGACAGGCGTGATTGAGTGAGTGCCTAAATGTATAGACTGGCGTGATTGAGTGAGTGCCTAAATGTATAGACAGGCGTGATTGAGTGAGTGCCTAAATGTATAGACTGGCGTGATAGAGTAAGTGCCTAAATGTATAGACAGGCGTGATTGAGTGAGTGCCTAAATGTATAGACTGGCGTGATTGAGTGAGTGCCTAAATGTATAGACAGGCGTGATTGAGTGAGTGCCTAAATGTATAGACTGGCGTGATTGAGTGAGTGCCTAAATGTATAGACAGGCGTGATTGAGTGAGTGCCTAAATGTATAGACTGGCGTGATAGAGTAAGTGCCTAAATGTATAGACAGGCGTGATTGAGTGAGTGCCTAAATGTATAGACAGGCGTGATTGAGTGAGTGCCTAAATGTATAGACAGGCGTGATTGAGTGAGTGCCTAAATGTATAGACTGGAGTGATTGAGTGAGTGCCTAAATGTATAGACAGGCGTGATTGAGTGAGTGCCTAAATGTATAGACAGGCGTGATAGAGTAAGTGCCTAAATGTATAGACTGGCGTGATTGAATGAGTGCCTCACTAAAGAGGCGTGTGATTGAATGATTGACTGACCGTATCGACTGGCGTGATTGAGTGATTGCCTAACTGTATAGACTGGCATGTGTGAGTGCCTGACTCTATCGACTGGCGTGATTGAATGATTGCCTGACTGTATCGACTGAGGTGATTGAGTGATTGCCTAACTGTATAGACTGGCGTATATGAGTGGGAAAGGAAATGTTCACGGTGCCTATTGAATAAGGCAAGGCCAGTTCAACCAGTTATGGCTCCTTTGCCGAAAATGAGAATGGGAGTTTCACTTCGAGGCTTTACACAAACTGGGGTAGATTATGCTGGGCCATTCGTGACCGTTCAGGGTCGAGGTAAACATCGACAGAAGCGTTACCTCTGTCTGTTTACATGCTTGTCGACCAGAGCCGTTCATTTGGAAATGGCCTATGGATTGGATGCAGACTCTTTTCTAAATGCCTTTTATCGGATGATTAACAGAAGAGGTCTTCCTGAGTTGGTAGTATCTGATAATGGTACCAACTTCGTTGGTTCGGTCAAGGAATTGAAGGAGCTGTTCCTACTCCTTGATGATGATGCAGTGAGACGTTCACTTGCAAACAAAGGGATCAAATGGCGTTTCAATCCTCCTCATGCATCACATTTTGGAGGGGTGTTTGAATCCAAGATAAAAGCTGCTAAGCGTGCCATTTTTTCAATCCTTAGTGCCGGTGATGTCACAGATGAAGAGTTGATGACAGCTTTCACTGGAGCAGAGGCTCTTATCAACTCTCGTCCGTTGACGTACCAATCTGCTCATCCACAAGACAGTACACCTCTCACGCCAAATCACTTCGTACATGGCCAGAATGGTGGTGTGTTCGCACCTAAGACACAGCTGACACAACAAAATTCAATCCACGCAAACGGTGGAGAAGAATTCAAGAATTGGTTCGTCACTTTTGGCACCGGTGGATGAAAGAATGGCTTCCAAGCCTCAACACCAGAAGAAAATGGCACACTCCTCAGAGGGATTTACAAGTTGGAGATGTTGTCTTAGTAATATCTCCCGACACGCCCCGTGGAAACTGGCAACTTGGCAGAATATTGAAGGTCTATCCAGGAAAAGATAGCCATGTTCGTGTCGTTGATATTAAGACAAGACAGTCAGTAATGAAAAGACCAGCAAACAAAGTATGTCCACTGGAATGGGCTTCTTCGAGTGAAACAAATCGACTTGCGTGATTGAGTGAGTGCCTCACTGTATAGACTGGCGTGATTTAGTGATTGCCTAAGAACGCATTGGCGATATGTGTATTGAATTTCGTGCATATATTCAGAAGCATATAGCAGAGATTACAAATGGTGGATGAATCGAACAAACAGGCAAGATGCAGGCCTTACCCTTGCAACGTTTTGGTGCACATATTTCAATGCCGGTGTCAGCACCGATCATTGTACTGTCAATCATCGCACCAACATTTACAACGTCAACCAATTTTCAGAAATTGAAGTTCGAAAATTTCACAAAATGGCCTCCCTCCGATGTTGGCGGAGTCGAAGGCCAAGGTTGAATGAGTTCACGCAAGTTATTGTGACGTAAACTATTGCAGGTGACGTAAATTATTGCAGGTGACGTACTTCTGGACCAGCTCCACACTGACATGTAGTTGTTTGTTACGACATGGACATGCTAAATGCAAATTCTATCCCCGTGTGTGTGTGTGTGTGTGTGTGTGTGTGTGTGTGTGTGTGTGTGTGTGTGTTTGTGTGTGTGTGTGTGTGTGTGTGTGTGCGCGCGTGTGTGCGTGTGCGTGTGTGTGCGTGTGTGTGTGTGTGCGTGTGTGTGCGCGCGTGTGTGTGTGTGTGTGTGTGCGTGTGTGTGTGTGTCTCTCTGTCTCTGTCTCTGTCTCTGTCTCATTACAATATAGTACAATCATTCATGTGTATATACACTCCTCATATTAGATTATGATTAAATTTATTTCTATGTTACCGTGTATCGTCGACCACCCCCATGTGGTAATGTGAAAGTGATTCTTTGTTATCATTTATATGTGTTGCAATTTTGTATCTCTCTTTACAGCTATACAGATTGTGTATGGGTAATCCACACTGTCAACGAAGATTTTGTTATAACCCTTGGCGCTCAAAACTCCTCTATTGAGTACAGCAACGGTTGTATCAAAGATTATGTGGAAGTCTTCGATGGTAAACGCAATATATATAATAGTGACAAAACCCTTTCCATGATCATTGGCACCATTGTCCGATTCCGCCTGTGCAGGTATCATCAGCATGTTTTATGGATCATTCAAAAATTGCGATGATAACTCGTCTTTGCGAAAAGGCATAAACGCACGCAAAGGCAAGGCAAGTATTCACCTTAAGCAATACGGGAACATTGGTACAAGTCAAAATTGCATCGGATTTCATGTTGGTCACTAATGTGTCAAATTTGAAAATGTCCGCCACATGTCTACCACAAAACATTTTGAAGACCTTTCTGCGACATTGTATCATGTAACCCTGACAAAGAATTGTTGACCAAGAGTTGTATGACGCGCTTTGAAATATTCGTAGAAATAGCATTCCCGATTGGTCCTAAAACGTTGTGAAATGTAGACACCAAAGGCTGAATCTGGGGCAATAATTCTCCAGATGAAGGGAACTTTGACTTTGGTCTTTGAGGATAGGAAACAAACCAATAGATCGATATATGGTGCCTTATCTATCTCCTATGTTATGTACGAAGGTTATCTGCTGCATGACATTCTGGAACCAATGGCCACCGATCTTATTTATTCCGGTTATTTGTGGCTTGTACTTTTTTGACAGTGATTTATTTGATTTTGGGAAAGGTAAATGGCTTTTTTAAATCTTTCATATCTATTTCATATATTTTGTTTATACATGAACTTAATCTGTGCTACATTGCTAACTGTTTAACAGTCCTTTGGTGGAAGACTTTTAATACTGTGTATGGTACGTAATTAACGTATTGTCATCGCTTTGCATGATCCTATAGAAATGAATCACAGGTTATAAAAGAACTCCTGCCAGGAGGTATTAAATGTAGGAAACCAATGCAGATATGCTTTTCAGAAGACAACGAGTCATACACAACGACTGGATGTATTCTATGCACACACAATTCCACTCACCATATTTCTGTTGCTCCAGGTGCAAGTACTTCGTCACCATCACTGGGGAAATTTTGCGGGACTCAGAAACCACTGTATCAAAGCTCTGGAAGCTATATGACAGTAAAGTTCCATTCGAATGGTGTCAGCAATGACAAGGGATTCTACATATTATACAGTGCTTATCCATCATCCTCGTGTACGTATTTATGCGATAGTTGTTTAACGCCGCACTCATAAATATTCCAGTTGTTTGAAAGAGATGACATGTCATTATACGAGAGTGAGTGAGTGTGATATGGGAGGAATGCCCGAATTGTCGCAAAATGTTAACCACCTTTGATGCGTAAGAGCACGGACATAATCAGGGCGAATTATTCATTAATAATTAATGAATTACATTATTCTAGGATTCGAACCCACAATCTTATGTCTCTGGTACGCCTTAGGAACGCAGTTCTGCACTAAGACGACAGGACCACCCTTCGGACAGGACCATTTCCATATCTAATCGGAACTAAATAATTAGCTACGAAGGATAAACGTCAAGGATAGACGATTCATTGTTATAAGTTGCGTCCCTTGGCCGTGTCAGGATCCGCTACCCATGGTTCGAATTCTAGATTCGATACTATGATACTATTTGCATGTCATTAGTTCACCAATGCTCAAAGATTTCACGAAAGTGGACAACACCTACGTACTGCGTTACTATGGGTTTCTCCTCCATAACGGCTGATGCGCGTATACGGAAGCGTAGTAGGGCCACGGTGAATTTTATTTTGTCTAAGAATTTCCCACGTAGGACTTCGTATCTCCTAAGTAGGACTTCGTATCTCCTACGTAGGACTTACTATCTCGTAGGAGATAGTAAGTCCTACGTAGGAGATACGAAGTCCTACGTAGGACTTACTTAGACAAAAGAAAATTCACCGTGGCCCTACTACGTTTCCGTATACTTACTATCTCCTACGTAGGACTAAGTATGGCCTAGAATCACTACAGGAGATAGTAAGTCCTACGTAGGAGATACGAAGTCCTACGTAGGAGATAGTGATTCTAGGCCATACTTAGTCCTACGTAGGAGATAGTAAGTCCTACGTAGGACATAGTAAGTCTGAGTTATTCTAGGCCATACTAAGTCCTACGTAGGAGATTGTAAGTCCTACGAAGGAGATATTAGGTCCTACGTAGGAGATAATAAGTCCTACGTAAAAGATAATAAGTCCTACGTAGGAGATAGTGATTCTAGGCCATACTTAGTCCTACAAAGGATATAGTAAGTCTTACGTAGGAGATACTGAGTCCTACGTAAAAGATAATAAGTCCTACGGAGGAGATGCTTTGACAAAAAAATCACCGTTGCCCTACTACGCTTCCGTACGCGTATGATTTACGTAGAGAAAGTATGGATCTGATTAAATTTTACATTTTATTAACAGCATCAAACATAGGAGTAATAGCTGGTGGGAGTGTCGGCGGAGTGGTCTTCCTGGTTGGTGTGGTCGCCGGTGGGTGTTTCTTCAGACGGAGAAGACTGAGACTGATGCCACAAAGACTTGTTGAAGAACGTTAGTTGCTATTTAAACACAATGCCATTTAGAAAGTGGTCAAATGTAACATATAATATATTCGGGATAACACTTTCTTAGTAAAGTAAAGATTCTCGTACTTTTTTGGGTTGAGTCCCATCCGGGATTCGAACACACTGGCTGAGTGGGTTAGATCGCCGATTTTGTGTGCTGGCGATTAGGTGCCTCACACTGGCAGTGTGGGTTCGAATCCCGGATGGGACTCAACCCAAAAATCTGTATTTTACTAAGAAAGTGTTATCTCAAATTTAACTTTTGTTATATTAGTTACTCTTGTTTTCATTCGTATTTCTAATATCATTACGTGCGCATTTTGAACCGGTATGTGAACCCCGGTCGAAGGGAGGCAACTCTACGCTCCACTGTGTACGAGTCTCATAAACATAAGCTCTTATTTCACGATATCTTATATCTCTGCGGGACGATCTGAGGGCTCCTCTATAAGTGGTCACGTCAGGTTCTCATCAGCCAATCAGCGCTGAGGTTTCAAAATTCATGGCACGACTGAGCAAAGCCTTACACAAGCACACATGTATATGAAGTCGGTCTGTCGAAAACGAAGATAATCGAGGAAATCCGAATGCAAAAACAATATAACGTTTGTATTACGTTTGTCCCAGTATCAATGGTGTAAATACAGTTTTAAATTCTAAACATGTAATTATAAATGCTGAGATTGACCCCTGAAAACATAGAATCGTTATTTTGTGAATCAGAATTTACCTGATGGTGTTATACATTAAAGTACTCACGGAAATGGAAAAAAACTGTTTTTCTCAATTTTAAAAATCGACACAAAGTGTTACGTAGCTGTAAATACGAAATAACAAAACAACTCGAAATGTACTAGTCTGGATTTGCTAGTTTGATCTCAGTGAACAATACAAAATGTACTTTACAGGAGGTAATTTGTCGCCACTTTCAACATTCAAAAATAAAACTATGTCCAAATTGACATAGCAGAAACAGACTATAGGCATTATGCACCTGTTCTCACCTGTCGTCAAGGTGTCATAGGTCACCTTGATCAACTTACACCTGGTTATGCCCTGTTTCACAATAGTCTGTTTTATTCACATTTTTACACACTTTTACGTCTAAAAAGGCATACAAACATTTGATACGCTGTATTTGTGCCACGGCCCAATTAGTACTAATTTAGTTGTTTGAATATTTACATATTTTGTATATTAACTGCATTTATTTAAGATCTGAGGTCGAAAAAACAGGTTTTTTCATTTCCGTGAGTACTTTAATATCAAGTATTAACAAGATGACATTAATTAACGATGCGCAGAGAAATTGTGTGGCATGCCTACCTGTTGGTACAAGTATCTATACTGTCAAAAAGCGCACGTGTGTAACCCAGAAGGTAAAACAAATAGTAATTTGAATGTTGTACCTTCAGAATAAGGAATGACAATATGACACATTCCAGTTTAAATATTTACGTAATGTAAAAGTAGAATACAGAATATTATGAAAACAAAACTTGTAATATTTTTTCACAACGACTTCCTGAAACATTTGTTATTGTATTACATGATTCTGTTGACATTGATACAGAGGTAACGTTATTAATATGTTCATAATTAATCTTTTCAAGGTAATAGTTTCATTGTTGTAATATCATTTTATATGAACGAGATCAGTGGAGACATGCAGATATTGTTAAATTTGAAACCCAAAGCGTTGTGAGTGCGTATTTTTTTAACCATGCACCATGCTTCTCCATGAGTTACCTCCTTCGCGCTTAGCGTACTGAATGTTTACTCCTGTAGGCTGACACGTCAATTATTCACGCTGTCCAAAAGTGCTAATACCTCGCTTCACGGAAACTGGGTCAATGTTTCCCGCACAGCGATATGCTGTAGGTCTGTCCCCTCTCGACAGTGAGTGAGTGAGTGAGTGGGGTTTTACGCCGCTTTTAGCAATATTCCAGCAATATCACGGCGGGGGACGCCAGAAATGGGCTTCACACATTGTACCCATGTCGGGAATCGAACCCGGGTCTTCGGCGAACGCTTTAACCACAAGGCTACCCGACCGCCCCACTCTCGACAGACAGACCCGGAAGTGATGCAGCGTTTCACCGCAGCGAAATACTCTATAGTATGGAATACTGTAAGGGACATTCTCGCGATCTCGCATTCTCGCGATCTCGACCTTTGGAAACGAGGTAAATATGCCCAAAACACGAGAATGCGAGATCGCGAGAACGCGAGATTTGGCCAAAATCTCGCGTTCTCGCGATCTCGCATTCTCGTGTTTTTGGTACATAGCATTTTTTGTCAAAAGTCGACAACGCGAGAATGCGACATTTGGACATGATGCAAAATCTCGCAATCTCGCAATCTCGACTTGTCAAATTAGGCCACAAAATAACGAAATCGCGAGAACGCGAGAATGCGACATTTCATTTTCTCGCGATCTCGCGTTCTCGTGTTCTCGCGTTTTAGACGCTGTCCGTGCGCATGCGTAATATCACAAGGTCAAGGCCCATGCGCACGTTAGTAGTCCTTTGGTCATGCTTCTTTCATGCTCTTCATTCTCCAAGTAGCATTTAGCAAACTTATGACTTGAGCTTGAAAATGCTATGTAATTTACATACACAAAGTCTGAGTCATCTCCCGTTGTTACAGTTTCCTATGTTCTTTATGATAAAACCCTCAACATGCTCAATATAATTTAACAAAAGAAATTGTGTACATGAATGTCCAATGATGGTGAAAACATAAATGTGTCCGAAAGCTGGAAACAAAACTATTACCGTCAGTGAGTGAGTGAGTAATATTGCTTAAAGCCGCACCAGCAGTACTACAGTTACAGAAATAATCACAGGCCAGTGAGTTTCTCCATGAGGCAATGTTATACACGGCTAGCATATTCATGAAAGGCAAAATTCTCATAGACCAATTTGAAATACAAAATTAATTATCATATTTTCATCCGCTCCAACCTGACTACAAAACATCCCGCTTTACATTATTTTATAGTCAAAATGGATAAAACTATCATTAAACCGCCCGCATGTTATCATAAATGAGCGGGCCACTGTTAAAGAAATAAACGACGAGTGGGAGTACAATAAAACACTGCAGGGAGAATAAACCATGAGGGGCTAGTGTTTTATTGAATGTACAATAAACAACAACCACGAGTCGTTTAATGATTATATGAGATATCAACATTATGTACAGCCTCTTTAAGGATGTTGATAAAATGTACAAGGTTTAAAAATATTTACCCCTATTTAAGGCGGGTATTTCCCGCATATGCTCACACAATCCTCAGGTCGATTACACGTACCTTTTCTCCCAAAACCGATTGTCATATTGTAACCGGGGATTGTGAAGGAAAATATAATTTCAAACATAGGCTACGGGTGTGAGTGTTTATTGCCAGAGTAGATAATGACATCCTTTAATGTACAAAACAATAACATTATAAAAACAATACTGCATAGGTTTCATACACATACATATTCACACAATCATTCAGTTCATATAAACATACGTCTATATTCTGTACATGAACATGAACTTAATAATCAATGATATACAAAATCATTATCTTAACCCTATAATAAACAAACAATTCATCAAGGGCGATAACTCGATCCCGACATCACTCATAAGATACAATATAAACCTGGTCCATGTTGTAAAATACACTTAACATTATAAATACAATTACCACTTTCTTGAAACTGCTGTATTTATTCAGTAACTCACCATATATTTGGCACGATACACTATTTACAATTCATATGTCGAGACACGACAAACATGTAAATTACCCGTACCCTGTGGGTGACACTGGGATGTTTATCGTCTTCATGCAGCCGCCATTACCATAGAAGTGCCACAACATCCGTGGAGAGCAAACTGACGGTCACTTCCCTCTCACAATTAACGTCGTCACTCACTGCGTTATAATGTTACAAGATAACAATCGAATCATCAGAAATGAGGTCATGATTAATCGTATAATACATCCCGCTTCGTTCTTCGATGTTCTTAGCGGTTAAACGCGTAGTCATCTATAGAGTAAGTGCGAGAGTTGGGTTTAACACTGCTTTTATCAGTATTCCAGTTATATCACAGCGTGTCAGCTTAATATGAGAGGAAAGCCCGAAGTGATGCAGGTCTCAGACGTTTACCTCTTCGATGAAGCCCACGAGAACGGGTATGGTGAAACAAGAAACATAATCAGGGCGAACCGGGATTCGAACCCACAATCATAGGTTTCGGGCGTGCCCAACTGACGCAACTCTGCACAGAGATTCGCGGCGCCTTAGACGACTGGGCCACCCAAATGAGTGTTTATATATTTGATGTCAGACCGCCGTCATATAGCTGGAATATTGCTGAGTGCGGCGTTAACAACAAACAAACAAACAAACAAACTCTTTCTGAAAAATACCATTTGGCATCCATGTTGGTTATTTGACTGTTAGTTGTCAGACAATATTTGTCAAATTCAGTCAGTTCACAGGCAAGAAAGGGAGCGTGTTCTTGACTTTATTATGTTACCAGTCTACATATATATTTCTGTATAATCAAAAGACTTGGAAAATGTGCATTCTGACATTGTCAAAAGTCACGTGATTTTGAGCAGCCATTTTGAAATAAACTGCATTAATTTGCAAAGCAGAAATTTCTATGAACCTTGTGGTTTATTTCGTCGTTTTGATGTCAAAAGACACGAGCGTGAGATTTTATTCATCATCCAACATCATTCTTCCAACTTTTTGAGTTTGTAGACAGTAATAAGCAGTGTCTTAAAGATGTTGGATACAATGGTTTGTGCGCACCTCAGTTCACGCCGTTGCACGCGAGTTTACCATGACGAATTACCTTACAAAATAGTTACATACAACTGTATAGGCAATTAGCACAAAAACACGAGAACGCGAGATCGCGAGAATTGACCAATCTCGCAATCTCGCGTTCTCGCGTTCTCGTGTTTTTGAAAATAGTTACATACAACTGTATAGGCTATTAGCACAAAAAACGAGAACGCGAGATCGCGAGATCGCGACACTTGACCAATCTCGCAATCTCGCGTTCTCGCGTTCTCGTGTTTTTGAAAATAGT